ATTGTAAGTGCAAAAAATTACTAAAAAAATTATTTTTATTTTAATTTTTTTTCCGCTCGCTGCATAAAAAATCCAAGTTGCATTTTCGTTGGAGTATCATGATCAAAGTACCGAAGTCTCGCGCAGATGAGAAACAAGATTATACATGGAATAAAATTGTATTTTATTTCATTTCTTCTCTACGATCAATGATCTCACTTACAATTCTTTGAGAATCACACAAATCTAATGGAAAAAAGAATTAATTTTATTTTTTTTCCGCCCTCCTCAAAAAATTTGCCTTATAAAAACTCGAGAACCAAGGAATAAAAAAAGTCTGACCTTAGGAGCTTTGGTTTGTTCACAGAGTGTACTACCAGTACTTACATAAATTCAATGATTTCCTAATACAGCTGAAATTGTGTAATACCTAGTAACCAGTAATTACGCTGGGATACACTACTGTAGAATAAGACCAGAACATTCACAACCTCATCTTGTCAACACTATTTCACCATTTTAGAGGCAAAACAGGATTTTATGTCAAAATTTATTTCCATTTAATAAAACATATCAAATATGGTAATTTTAAAAGTCAGAAAAAAAATTATAAATTTTCCATTTTGAAGAAAATATACAAAGAAGTTCATTACATATATACAATGCAAAACTGAAAAAAAGACAGATATAGGAGGTGAAATTCAAGGTTATACGATATCCGATTTATGCAAAGTAATCATGTAAGGAAGGCATACTGAATGATTCAACTTCGAGCACTTGGATGTTGAAATTATGACATTCCAAACACAGAGGGAGTCTTCCAATTTATAAGTTATCACTGGAGTTTTACTTAATAATTCCCTCAAATAAAATGTTCCCTGCATACCAAATTCACTGATGTGCAATTTGAGCACCAAGTTTTGATGCCAGATTATTTTGAAAACTGATTAGTAACAGATTATTTCAAGACAGATCTTTTGTTCCTTTTCCAGTACTGTAAACACATTAACAATTCACTGGAATTAAATTGTGCTATTCTCTGTGACTGGTGAAATTAATGAGAACAAGTAAAATCACATTACCACTTACAGTTTGTGAAATTATCTCCTTGTGACTAGGACCCAAAATCAAAATTGTGATAATAAATACCAGTTAAAATTAATGTGTTTACAATACACTATAATATACAGGTGATAAAAAGCTTCTGACTTGAAGGCACTGTTATCATGATGCTGACTATGACAAGAACACCGAGATGTTTTTATAGGTCTTAAATTAGTCTGTAAAACAATATAAAGAAACATCAACTGAGAACCAAACTTCTTTTTCGGAATGTAAGGCAAGATACAAGTTTTACACATTGTTGATTTTAAGCAACAAGCATTCGATAAATAAAAACCTTCAATGGTTTTATAAAATAACATTGTGGAATACAATAAATTTAAACTCTTCCCGCATTTTCAATTAATTCCAGAGAGCAAAAACGCACACATCTAAATTTATTTTATAATCTCTCCAACTGACCTTTGAGGGCAGTAGTTGACTCTGAAATATGGCAATAACAGTAATGGAGTTCTTAAGAGAAATGAAATATAGTAAGTATTCATAAATTTTCAAATTGATAATTCAATAAAAAAAAAAGAATAGTAGAGTGATTTAAATACATCAGCAACAAATCACATTTATCAGTCTCTGAATCTGGAAATATATTCAGGCAAGTAAATAAAAATATAATACTATAAAACAAAGTTAACGATAAAATCATTTTTTGAAATGTAAATAAATCAGGTTTGCTTGTTTTTTAACCAGCCAGCATATGTATAGCTATGTGATTAGTTGATAAATGGTATCTTTGTAGATGTATTTAATTTCACAAGTTTAATTTAGGTATTTAAACCCTCATGATTATCAAGACATAATTGAAAGTGAAAAAAACAATGGAAACAAAATCCATTGTGCTTATAACCTTTCGCACTGATATAATTTTGTGAAAATAGCAAAATTTAAGCCATTAAACTAAAGCAAAATTAGCGATATAGTGATTCATTAAAGATTGATCACATTTTTATTAAAAGTGTACATGTCTCAGAAATGTCACGGGTGGGGAGTGAAAAAGCGTGTATAATATTTTTTAATATTTTTATTTGAAAAAGTAAAATGATTTTTTTTTTTTTTAACTATTACGATGTCTTTATGCGCCCTCAGTGTTGACAATGTCAAGTACCTTTGTTTTTTCTTCCACATTATTATAAATTATTTATATAAAATGCTCCCGGTAGCTACTTTCGTTATACAGCAGACAAACCTGTAGAATAATTTATTCTAAAATTACTTTTCATAAAATCTTAAATTTGACATACATTCAATAATTTAGAATTTTGTAAAAGGATATGTTATCAAGTCTACAGATGATATTCAAAGAAAGGAATAATGAGCCATACAAATTATTTTCATTTCGCATAGTCCTAGTGCTCACTTTTTAGTTATCAAACTAAAATAAACAAAGTAATGTTTGCAAACTTTTACCATATTTGCTCTATTAGAAATGCATCTTTGATAAAGCACACATGAACCAAAAATGTAAATTGGATCATTAAAATACGACTTGATTCAATCAAGACCTATGTCATTTAGATGAACGCATGCGCTTCTAAAAATGCAAATATGGTAGTCCAAATATAATGGTATTGAAAAATAACACTTAAAATAAAAATAAATGTATGGACGTGCATGACTTGAGAACCCAGTTTGAATGAACTCATCTTGAATACATGGCACATACTTTAAAACCATTTTGAATATTTTCATGTTAAAGGGCGGGAGGCGTCGCGCCATGCATGTGTGAGATATATGGGTCTCATATTATAAACAAAGATGGCGATTTTGGCTGTTGCGCAGATCAGTATGAGTACAAACTGAGACGTTACCAAGCTTTAATTAGATATCTTTTAGGTGATTGGAGGTATTGTAGGAGTCACCGGCGGTAATTGTAATGCGCATTGGATTGTGGAAAAATCAATGTTTATCAACACAAATGTCGCACATGCGCAGCACAACGACTACCACCCTTTAATTTCGCTGCTAATTTTTGATCCGTTCCTGACATGACCTGATCAATATTTGTGATCAATTATGGCATAAAATATTTGTTATTGACTTAGGAACTCAAAATATTATATACAACAGCATTCCACAGATTTGAAACTACTTTCGTTCATAGTGTATGATTGGCACTATGTTTGCTGATGTGCTGACAGTCAAGACTACAGTAAATATTCCCACATCTCACATGCATCACGCCATAATTGAGCTTCTCTAAATGGCAGAACAGGAAAAGGTGAAATCACACAAAAATGAAATATAAAATTAAGCAAACATTTTCTTTTATAAAGTTGGCTATGATACACCTGCGTAAATAATGAATATTCTGGCCTTTAACTTAAACCATACATTAAGTAGTAACTGTGAAAATAAAGGGTTTGTAATATTATGGTGTTTATGTATAATCTTGAAAAAAAAAATTTCAAAAAAAGATTTTCTTGAAATATTAAAACATAACACTTATTTGAGAATAATTGTGTAGTTAATTGACAGTAGTGATAATTAGTAAGAAATGGCAGTTTAAGGTGTAGCAACAAATGTCAAAAAATGTGCATTCATCAAAATATACTAAATGTTTGGAGAACCCAAGTGAACTGGATAGGTACAGTGTGACAATAAAAACCATGCCTGCAGACACAAGTTATCAAACAGCATGTTAATTCTAATGGGCAAACTCACAAAGCCTTCAAGATGCAACCGATGATGCAAGATAAAATAAATAAAGACAAAATATATATCGCAAATTTATTGATTTTGAAGTATTTCTGATTTTGAAATCACTTCACTTCATTGAAAATCGAATTGCAATCTGCATACAATTTCCTTCCTTGTATTACCAGCAACACAAAGATTTGAGGAATAACGTACAAAGACAATATGTTATAATCTTGTGGTGAGTTGGCCTATCTGTGCTGACATGCCAAGTATGGTATGGTTATTTAGTGATGTGGTGATAGAACAAACAATATTAGGCTTTAGTCAAAAATGTAAGAAAACATATAAAAGGCACAATGTCAAAAGTACAGGACATCAGTATTTGGCTCAATAAGGAAGGCTATTATGTTATTATTATAAATTATTGAATCTTTAAATTAATATTCAAACATTGGCAGTTTAATAGCAGTAAGCATAGCAGTGTAAAATTTCATTTCATTCCCAATTATGTCTATTTACACAGATACTATCTATGGGAGAGGGGTCAAAGTTCATATATTTATCCCCTTTAACATGGCAGCTCAAACTTAAATCATTACAACATATGCTGCATAATATATAGAGGTGAGAATATGTACACATGTTTCTCCCTGAGCTCCTATACTCTATATTATCAATCTTTTCTGCACTTACATAGATGCTCTTGTTACAAAGATTGATGCTTATAGTCAACCATGTTGCCAGGATATGCAAATGAGCACATTAAATATGCAAGAATGACAAAATATTCATGGTACATGACCAGACTGAATAATTAGAAAATAGAAAGACAGAGGGTGATTTGTTTGAGATTTATATTTGGACATCACAGTGGCATGGATAATCAAATCAAACATCAGCCGTTATGAACAGACCTTCTAAGATGGTCATTTTCAGACAACTTCTCAAGGTTTATATATATATATATATATATATATATATAATGAAGAATGATAACATACATGATATTACAACAGAGTGCTCATTCTGAATAAATAAATGACAAAGTAGTCCCTCATTTATATGGAAGTAATATGCAAAGAATCTGCAGTACTTTACGTACCTACTGTAGATAAGGAAAACTGGAAGTCTATGGGAGATACACGAGAATGGAGAATTCTGGATACATATGGAATGTTTATGGTAGACAATGTCAATCATTCTCAGGTTATATTGTGAATGGCTAGAATCTCAAACATTCTCACAGAATGGACTCTCTAATTTCAAATATCATGTACACTTGTTGTCATACTCTATCATTTAGCACTGCCACCCCTGCAACGGCACGGCTAGATCCAATAGTTCCTTTGCTTGACCATTCCCCCAGGTGCGGGTCAAATATCTCAACTGTATTTAAGTAGTGGGCCCCGTCATGTCCAGCAATTGCGTAAATCAAGTTTCCTACAACAGCCACACCAAGCCCACTACGACACTGGTTCATAGGTGCAACAAAGTTCCATCTACAGGTGAGTGGGAAGATTGGTACAAAAGTTAAAATATGATGTGATTTGTAGTTGATGCACAATATGTACATGTAATTGAAAAATGCAATGGATGACATAATTACTAGTATAGTACATACCTGTCATCATCTGGGTAGTACCTCTCTAGTGTACTAAGATTAGAAGTGCCATCATAACCACCCATTGCATACAGTCTATTGCCAAGTACAGCGACTCCTACACCACCTCGCCTAGCACCCATGCTGCACATCATTGTCCACTGAAATCAAGCATTCAAATGTACATGATTATTGTGCCCGTCTTCTGGAAGCTTGTATTGTTATCAACAATTTGTGTCATTAAGTGCTGATTCTTCTAGAGCATCAACAAATGTTGACAAGTACTTCACCCAGTGTTGATAACTGTCACCTAGAGTTGACAAGTGTGTCACCCATGCAGTGTTTACAAGTGTGTCACCCATGCAGTGTTGACAAGTGTGTCACCCATGCAGTGTTGACAAGTGTGTCACCCATGCAGTGTTTAGAAGTGTATCACCCATGCAGTGTTTACAAGTGTGTCACCCATGCAGTGTTGACAAGTGTGTCACCCATGCAGTGTTTAGAAGTGTATCACCCATGCAGTGTTTAGAAGTGTGTCACCCATGCAGTGTTTAGAAGTGTATCACCCATGCAGTGTTTA